TTTTTGTCTTTTAACTCTCTTGGGAATGCTTGTAACCCATGAATTTGTATAAGTATTCTCATATCAATTATAATAGTCATGAAGTAAATCATATCTGTACAATACAATCATGGAGGCAAAGCTTCCTGGCTTAAACAATGAGAATTCATGATAGCCGATGTTAACGTTTCTATATGTGGCGTTGATAATATCTTATCATCAAGAAAACAATCACAGGTTTAATCACGCGATTCACACAGGAAAAGAATCCAAAAGAAAAAATGACGGGGGGAGGGGAGGAGGAAGGGGGTAGACTGACATATGTATAATGAAAAGAAAAAGAAAAAAGCAATTAAACGAACAAAAACTAGGAAAACTAGGAAAACAGGCTAGGAAAATATATATCTTTTAAAAACGGAAATGTCGGTATGGTGTCGATGTCCAATATCGCAAAATCGTTCTAAAATATTTTATAAAAGCAATATAAAAAGGCTGCTTTTGTCTCTGTACTGCGATCATATAAAACTCTGGGAGCTGAAGAAAACTCGGAAAGCAGAAAAACACTCGACTACGCCTCGAGTTCCTAAGCTTGCTTTTCTCGTGCTCTACAGCGCCCAGCTTGTTCATAGTACAGCACAGCACATGCGCGTGCGTTAAATTCCTCAAAATATACTTTGCTGTAAAGAAAAATAATATGCTTGCTGCAATACAAGTTTATTTAATTGAATTTCAAATCAAAAACACTCTTACGATCTTTTAAAATAAAGTAATCGTCAATAATTATAACCATACTTGAGGAAATAGCAAGTGCTTAAACTAAACAACATCTAGTGTAAAGGAAAATGCATTCATTCTTTAGCAATATTTTTTACATCAACAAACACTAATGCATGGAATATTTATATAGCATATGTAGTGAGTAAGTGTTTGAATATTTGGCCAGTTAATGTTATATTGTTACAATAATAATTTCAAGATATAGTTTAAACATCCGATATCAAAATGCTTTATGGACTACATGTCATTTTTGTACCGGTAATTGAGTCAAGTGTTTTGAATGGCAGCTGTGTGTGTGATAGAGTTAGATTACCAAACATGCGTTAATGCCGTTCAATTTAAGTAGAAACATCCTAATGTTTAGGTGTGAAACAATAGAGGGGTAGATGATTAAATCAAGGAACAAAGTCAAAAAGTGAAGAAACAAGAGCCAACAAGAAAGTAAGAGCTAACACGAATAAAAAACGAAAAAACAACAACAACAAAACATAAAAAAGATCAACAAATTAAAGAAAATCCCCGCCCTCGAAAAAAAAGGAGCGAAAAAAAAAACAAAACAAACTCAGTTTATGTATGAATTAACGAATAAAAAAATAGTTGAATGAATGTATGAGCGGACGAATAAAGTGAAAAAAATCGATTGAAAGAGTGCAAGAAAAAAAATGTGTTTTATAATTTTGAGTTGTTTTTCCTAGCGCATAACGGTTACCTAGCGGTGCCCTAATCGAACGAACTACCAAAAAATAGCAATCGTTCTATTAAAGACTAAGACTGGTATGGTTTACCATCACTGTTTACTCTTTCTTTTAATTCAGTTGAACTCATGGAGAGCTATGAAAAGAAAAAGTTAGACAGTGTGTTGAACGTCTTGACTATCTTTTATTTGACCAGGTGGTAGAAGATGTACTGCTAAAGTGACACTTCTGACCGCTGTTGTCAATGGTGGGCTCATTAGTACCCAACATCATATGTGAATATAGTAGTTGGAGGGTTCTCCGGTTTTCCTCCAACCGGCCGTAAAAATCAATCAACTTCTGAGTTCTAGTTTGGTCTTGCTGGCATTTTAGTGGTTTGGTCATGGGAGGGAGATTAGGCAATCACACCCTGCGAGATTCACCTAAAAAGTTGCATCACATGCATTCATTCTATCAATGCCGGTTACCAGATAAGTAAACATTTTACCGTAGGTCATTCATCAAATTGAGCTGATGATCCTCACAGAGTATGTGAAGCAACTTATGCAGCTGCAAATTGAAAGACTCAACATACATTCTGAGTCTTGAAACGGATTCGAACATGTGCCCTGGCGATTCCAGTGCCATGCTCTAACCGCTGAGCTACCAAGTCTCTTATGAGACTTCAAGTACACATTAGGTGGGTTTATCGTGCCGATAGGAAAGATGTATATGTGTATGAGAATATATATGAAGTATATATTTGTACTAGTGCGGTTGTAATGTTATGTATCAAATTAAGATAACGTAGGTAGGTTACTCACTAATCATAAGATATTGAAATCACAAGACTTTAAAAGCTCAGATCGAACAGTGACAATATATCGCTCGCAAACGAACTTCTCTGTCCAAATATCCTAGCTTTATTTAAAAGCTTTTCAAAGCACACACTCCAAACAAAAAATGACCATATATACTACTTTATTAATATAGTGATCTAGATGCGTATCGACCTCTCCATTACAAGTTTTATTGAGACGGATTAAAGCCATTACCAAAAGTGACTTGATTTTGTTTTGTTCATACTAATAATATTGGATCGATCTCTTTGATGATGAATTACTAGATAAATATTCAATAAAGTTTAAACGATAAACCCTTTATAACATGACTTTACCGTCAATTTGTAAGTTTCTAAAAGACTTTTTCGGTATATTGGTCATATACATAGTATTGCTTTAAAAACGTTTTGAAACGTTTTGAAACTTTCCGCTATTAATGCGGCACTTCTAATGAGAACTAAGAGAAAAAGGTCGTGATTAGGGTGCGTTCATAATGTATGGCAGAGGGGGGGGGGGGTGGAATTAAGGGGGGGTCGGGAAAATTTTGGTAGGAAAAAGGGGGATGGGCAAATTTCGGGGGGATCCCACTGCCATACATTATGAACGCAGCCTTAGTAGTTTTTTAAAAATAGAAGTGGTATAAATTGATGTGTAGTAATTGGAAACTCTATGTAAAGCTAGTTTGCTTAAAATATCATGATGGAGAAATATTGAATAAAATATTGGAGAAAACAGGGCAGTTCAGTGCTATTCAAAGTCTAAAGACCGACTTAATTTCTAGTAAATAATTTTGTTGGTATTTAAAGTAGAAATAATTGAAAATTAGAATTAATTATGAAATTGAAATTATTTTGGTTCAGTAATGATTTATCGCCAAGGGAATTCTTTTCGTTTGTTCGCGTGGGCTTTTTTTTCCTTCTTTTTCTCTTTATATGGCATACCATCAAACCATTTTTTGGACTTTTTCTTTTATATCGAATTTAAAGGTCTGTATTAAAAATATTTCATAAAAGGCCAAATTTGCAATTTGCCCCTTTGTAATTTCTTAACTCACTCGCGCGTGTTTCGCTGAGTTTTAACTCATCCAGCAAACTGAAAACAATAGCACGTCTTGGTTGCTATATCACCATCTATCGTAAAATTAATGTCTGACCAGCTAATATATGCCATGCCTAAGGTGATGTAAAAAATACTTCAGCTTAAAAAAAACAACATTCATTCACTTTTAAACATCGGCTTATCGCTAGGATATTGCAACGAAATTTCTCGACTTTGTACGGCAAGGAATCGTAACAGTTAGCGTTCTTGATAGATTTTAATTTGAATTGTATTAAAGATTATTTATCTTCCTTGTTAAATACATCGGTTGTTAGCAAATGAATTTCAATTTCAAACAATGAAAACTTGAGCTCAAGCCAGGGAGACGTGGGATTTAAATTCAATGGAAACAAAAACCCAAAAGATGCGTTCATTTTTCGCTTTCAACCCCCACCAGGAAGCAAACTCAAAAGTAAAAACTGGGAAAATCCATTTTGTACTTGAATAAATAGCGACTGTGTTAGCACAGTCTTTAACATGAATTGTTCAATATATTATTATATCTATATTTATTAAGTTTAATTATTAAAAAACTACAGTTGTGTAAATAATACGACATCTTGTGTAATTTTTTCGCGACTTACCGTGCAAAAAACATGTCCATAATCCCAGACTTGTACTATCACAGCTCGACAGCTAAATGGCATGATAAATAGCGCTATAAGCGAGTTTGAAATGGCCAGGTTGACAATGAAAATGTTTGTGGTCCTTTTCCTAAGCAGCTTGCTTCTCCAAATCACTGTACAGATTGAAACATTTAGTAGTAAAGACGTTACTACGAAAATAATCAGGCATATTGCTTCGAAGATTTCCATGGAATGCAAGGAAGTTTCTATTGATGTTCGGTTCCTTGAGCGATTGGCAGGAATCATCATTCGATGTTCTTTCTATCCTTCAACTTCAATTCGAACTGTTTAAGACTTCTCATTCATCTCAAGCAATTTCACCAAGCGCAATTTCTCCAGTCTACCAGATGTCAAATGTTTCAATTTTCGTATTTCAAAATGACAGTCATTTGTATTAAATTCGTTCACTTTTGAAAGTACTCAAGTGCTGTGAAATGTTCAATTCCACTTTCCTAAGACGATCAACTGACAAGCTTTACTAAACACCTGATTCCTCTAAAAAGAAAACGCTCCCAGAATTGCCTTAACAAATCGTTGCAGATGAAAAAGTCCGTCCTATACTTAAAGTAATCTTATAGCAAAAGCCATTTGATTATTTCCTGTTGAAATAGTACGCCTAGAGCAGTCAAGCCGTTTTGCTCCAAAGAGGCTGTTTTTWCGCACGGTTTGAATTACTCGATTTTGATATTTTATATGGTTGTGCACTAACTGGTTGTCAGTAACCCCGGGTACAGCTAGATTCCCATCAACTCCACTTGAATCGCGATCTCCAAGACCTCTATTGGACGTTTACCAGCGCAATATTCATAAAACGTCTAGAACCTAAGAGAGATATATCAAAAATCTGATGCGAATAGATCACTTGTCCTGTATTTGTTATTGCACAAATGCCACATTTCTTAATCGTTTAAATCGGATGCAGACTTGAATAAAGTTGTGGCAGCTGAAAATTTTTGAAAAGGATCTCAGATTGAATAGGCTAATTGATGAAAAAAGCCATTTCTATACACGACTGCATGATGAGATTTTTTTTAAAAAAGCCGACTTTACGACGGACGTATTTTATAATTTAATTTGACTGATTACTTTGAAACGTTATCGATTTCTGCGCGCGCACAATGTAAGCTCAAAACCTCTGAATTACCTTTGACATCTAATAATTAGGGAATCATACACGTTTTGAACTTCAACGCGTCAAACCCCTAGAATTTTGTACGGGGATCTATATTTTTGTTTGAATTCTCTATAAAAAAAACAACAAGTAAAAAGCAATCTGTCGTCAAAGTTTGAAAAAAAATAAATAAATAAATAAAATAGTAATAATAAAGAGAGAGAGAGAGAGAGAGAGAGAGAGAGAGAGAGAGAAAGAAGAGATGATGAGACCCAAGGTGTCCGATTTAGATAGAAATGAAGGGTAAAACTGAAATATGAATAAAAACAGTGGTACGATATTTTTTTAATATTCAAGCTTCCCCTAAATCGCAGTACCTGCGAAATTAGTCATTAGCTAGTTGCGAATGCCAGTCGCGCGAGAGACTTGCAGGAACTTCCGAGGACGGGGAGTCGATGCATGGCTGAAGATCTAGTTGATTCATTCCTCTCTTCTCTATCCATCTGTCTATCTCCATTCACTGTCCATTGTTCGCTCATGTGTTCGTTTTTTAACCGGTTCGTTCGTTCGTTGCCGGAAAACGAAGAAGTCTCCTGATGATTCTAGTATCCTGTGTAACCTTTATTTACTGAACAGATAAATCATGCAATCTGTTTCACCGTTGTTTTACTTTGGTCCATGTCGGCTCTTCTTCAGTTTAGCTGTTCTCTCAGTTTTCCGAAAAAAACTGATATAGGAACACTAAGACGAATCGACACGATAGATTAAGGAATAACTGGACGGTCAACATAGGTTTTTGCGTCGATAGAATGAAGGGGTTTTACTTCTGTGTAGATCAACTTAAAACTTATTTTCCATCAGATCTCCAGTCAGACAGTAAATTTGAGTGTAAAACAACATTCGTTACGTGATGTGTGTATTTTGTTTACATTTTACGTGATGTATGTATTTTGTTTACATTTCAAAATCTGTTTTCGAACTTCTGCAGTTTACGCTTTTTTTTTATTTTTTTATTTTTTTATTTTTTATTTTTTTAATTTTTTTTGTGATTGGAAAACTTGCTTGCTGGTTCTCCTATCTTTCGAGATGTTCCTCTAGACTCGCTCGTTTCCCAGGGGCTTCTCTTCTCTTCTTTTCTCTTCTCTTCTCTTCTCTTCTCTTCTCTTCTCCTTGTGTTTTTTCCATTCTTCTTCTCTTGCACTTTCTTGCCTTTCTTCTCTTTTCCTGGACGAATATAAACATCAATTTAAGTTACCAAATATTGTCGCATGATTACGTACTGTCGATTTAATCTCTGGTTTAATTCCAAAATCCCCTCAAGGTTTACTACTCAACTCCAATATTGCGGGAAAGCTGACATCTCGGCTACTACAAACACAACACCTATTGGTGAATAAATTCAAGGCTCAACAAGAAGTGGAAATTTGGTTGTATGACGACATCAAAAAAGACGCCAAATTGTGTTAAGCAAGCACGGTAGCTTAGGAAACAAGCATCCCAAAAATATTTTTCCTACTTGTAAGTTGTTTTTTTATACTGATTTTATCGCTTTATGTTGAACACCAAAGTTTTCTATTTAGCGATTATTGAGTACACGTCTAAAAGTAATAACAGTAATTCACCAAGATATTTTTAAAATCACCCAGAGTTGCACCTCTAAAGAAGCTAAAGCGTTTGGACATTATACTATTAGTCGGGTTCCCATGGAAATATGCTTTTATCAGTCGTATCAACAGCAGTTAAGAAATACTTTATTTCGTCGTTTTTTATATTGGGCTATATTGGGCTTGTCATATATATTTTTACGTAGAAAAGCAAAGCCGATGTCAGCCCTGTGTTGCTGTATGATTGAAGGTCTTTGGTTGCCGGGGATATAAATACTTTTCATTTCTCGAAATGTCTTCAGTCAGCAATCAACAGAAACGCTTTAGAATCTGGATAATATGTATCATGGAGAGAGAAAAATAAAATAAAAATAAAATAAAAAATATCAATCAGTTTTTAAATGTCAACGTGGTATAAAGTAATCCCACATGGACTGGAAAAGATCTTTCGATAAAGAATTAATATAGAGTCGTGGGAAAAAACTGTAAAGAAATAAAGATTTTAAGTGTTTTAGCTTTAATTCAATCGTATGAGAAACTACTACTTTCGGTTCCAAACGAAAGGCAGATATATAAATATTCTTCTTGCTTATCTTCAAGTGGAGGATAAATCATTGAGAACATTTGTCAAGCTTTACAGAAAAAACTGAATGTCTTAAAAAATTTTTTGACGAACTGCTTGTGATGGTGCTGAGATCTGCCAAACCGTTTGCAATCATGCACGACGAGTACGGATTGGGTTTATTAATGCCTCCTTCAGCGCTTCTTCCGTCCCCCTTCCCTAGGCTTTCTTCCCTTCTCCCCTTCCTCACTTCCCCCCTAATTCCCCCTTCTCCCTTCCCCCTTCCCCCTTCCCCCTTCCCCTCTTTCCCCCTTCCCTCCTTTTCCGTCCTTCCCCCCTTCCCTCCTTCCCCCCTTTCCCCCTTCCCTCCTTCCCTCCTTCCCTCCTTCCCTCCTTCCCTCCTGTCCTCCTTCCCGAGACTTCAAATTATTTGAACGTAACCCCGCCACTCTATGCTTTATAATTTTTGTACGTTTGCTCCCTCATCCCATAGTTCAAGATGGCCGTCGTATCAGTAAAATGCTTAAGGTCTATTGGCAAGTAGCAAAAGTGCAGCTAAGAGACAGCTAAGATGCATGAACTAAAGTTTCTAGAGTGAATTAAAAAATAGTAACAACAGAAGTCTGTAACTCAAATGATGGACTTATGGTAACGATCAATTTAATTCTCAGCAAATATGGCCTCTTTTTTACAGCTTTCCATGTTTGCGCTGCTCGCGCTTTTTTTATTTTTTTTTATTTATTTTTATTTTTTTATCACAAAAAGGGTAAACTTCCACGCAAACGGCAAAACTATGACCCCTCTTTTTTGTTTACTCAATTTCCCTCCAGTATGATGTACTTTCGTCAAGTGCAAATCTAAAAAAAAAATCTGACGATGGGATATTTTGCCCATGATGATCTTTGATCGTCACCCCAAACTTGCATATAAAGTGTACGTCACGTCCCACACGGAAAAGAGTAACTTTTAGACTCTTAGTCATCATCGACAGAATCGGTTAGTTGGTCTGCTGGTCATAGCAAGGGGTTAATCAACTACGGTCTAGGGGCCGACTAACCTCTCCCTTAGGCTTCGGCCGAGCTTCCTGATCAGTCTGTAAATCCCGGATAGCGGTGTTGGGGCCGAAATCTCCAGCATAGCCGTAAATGCTTCGCGCTGCCATACGACGGTTCAGCAATCGATGTCTGGAAGTATGGTCCTAGTTAGTCAATCAATAAAGTTAAAAATTATATATTACAAATTTAGTTTTCCTAGTAGAAATCATTTAAAAGAAAGAGGAATTCTACAAGTAGCAATATTGAAATATTTTGGCGGGCAAAAAGCTTAAGAAATATAATTGTAAACGGAAACATTCAAAGTTTTGCTTGCGTTTCCTTAAACAGACCAGATATGTTCTCTCATATTTTACACAAAGCTTTACTACTGAACAGACAATAATGATTAGTCAAATGATTTCCTTGTCAGCCGTTCTGAATTTGTTGACTTTATTTGGGATCTTTTCAAGTACAGTGACAGCTGTTTACACATCATGGCTGCTCGTGGACAATGAAAATAGCTCATAAGTGAATTCTAAGAAATCAATGGTGTATGTTTTAAGTTATTACAGAAACTGAAGACTGATCTGAACAAAAAAATGAACAACTTGAAGAAACAATTTGGCAAAGACTGAGTAGAAGAAGAAGAAGAAGAAGAAGAAGAAGAAGAAGAAGAAGAAGAAGAAGAAGAAGAAGAAGAAGAAGAAGAAGAATTTAAGAGATTCAAAATGAAAGGCTATACTACTTTTATTTGTCTTCGCATATTAGGCCGAGCAGTTGAAGTGGAAACAAAACAATTTTGAAAAGCAAAGTACACAACGAGCAAAACTTCAAGATGCACTTAAGTTCCTGATTTTTCTTTCACTACAGTGGGGCACAGATATAAGAACTTGAACTCATGATTACTTAATACTTGATCAAAGATTACGAGATCTTCTGATAAAAAAAATGGCTGAATCAGTAGAAAAATACCAAGTAGCAAGCTTTTAAACTATCTCTTCCGAGATCAACGTGTAAAGCTGCCGAAGTAGTTGCTATTCAAAAACTTTGTCTTCGCGGCACAAAATTTTGAGTCGCTTTAAATGACATTAGCAACCAAAAATATCACCAATAATTGCGTGTGCACGTATATGTTTTCAATAAACAAACAAAGTTAATTTTGGAATCCAACCACATAAGAATAACAATGCATTTKTCAGGCGGTCTATGATCCCATGTTTGCGTTGCTTGTAATTTTGGAACTGCCTGCTCCTGCTTCTGCCCCTCAGTTCTCGAACGGTGGAATCATAGCTTTTCCAAATCATCATTGTCGCTAGTGATATCGATATTTAAGTAATCAGATCTCGGAGAAGAAGATAGGTGAGCCTTCAAAGTCAGGTAGTAGGCATCTACTATCGTCTATCTGTTATTTAAGTCCATCAAAGGGGGGACCCATCACAGATAGACTATATTGCAGCTCCATATTGTATTATTTTGGGTTTTACCATGGATGATTTTGAAAACTCGATTCTAGCTCTCGGAGAAGGAAACTTCATAAACATAAAGATAGACTGATTAGTGAACATTTCCAATTCTTTCCTTAAGTTTGATATTATAACCCAGTGCGACTAGCTTGGAGTATATTCCATTACGATCATTAATTATTAATGCGTCTTTTTTTGAGACCAAATTATTATTGATTTACTCAACTTTTCGTTTACAAATTCTTTCGAGTTCCAATATCCACACTATTATGACGAACACCTTGAATTATCAATCTATCTTTTTTTTAAACCAAATTGTTATTGATTTACTCAACTTTTTGTTTACGATTTGTTCGAGTCCTCATATTCACTTTGATTGTTCATGTGCAAATTAACGAACACCTCAATGTACACAATCAAGTATCGCTTTCTTTTGCCTCAATTCTCTTTAACAGCTGAAATAACTGAAATTATAAATTAGCGTGATGTTGCGAAGATTGGGAAAAGAAAAACAATTACGAAGCTAGGAGAACTGCAGTGCATTTAGGTATGTACACTGTTGATTTGTTCTTCATTAATGAGGAAAAAATTTTCAGTCTATCTGGACGTGTCGAGCGAACAGAATTCAAGTGAACTCGAAGAATTTTGCCCTGTTGATACACTGTTGTGTTTTATAGTTCGTTTTTTAGATTTAAAAGCCACACGTTGGACAGCGACAGAGGACTGATTTTCAATGCACAATCAAACCAACCTTGACCTTCTGTCCCACGAACGAATCATCGAGAGCGTGTTGTTATTCTTATTAATGATCATATCATCATTTTTCAACATCACAACGTGTCATCATCGCAAGAAACAAATTCCTGAAAAGCCGACCAGCAAATTTGTTCGTTGCGAACCTTTGTTTATCAAACATGGTGTTGACGCTGTTCGTAATTCCGTTCAGCCTCGCTACATTGTTACGGGACCAACACAGAACTTTCGCAGGATCTGCAGCTTGTACGGTGAGTAAGGATAAGAGACGTTAATAACATTACTGCAAATCCATATTTACTCATAAGTCCGGTAAATAAAATATCAGGTTTAGGGATCAGTAGTTTCTTTATTTGATCTGCAGTGCACGCACATATTTTCACACATTAAGCGATTATTGGACGAGGTTGAGCAAAATATCGTAATTTGTTAGTGGCGAGGGATCAATTATTTGCCGATGCAAAAGCTGGCAGAAACACTTCCATATTACGATATTYTGTGTTTGACGAGTTTAGTAAATGTTTTATCATTCAAATATTTTTCCCGTTTTTTGTTTGTGCTTTATGGAATTTGGTTTCTTTTGCTATCTATTAAACATACCAAGTCCAAGGAAGATCGAAGCGAGCCATTTTAATAAAAGCAAAGTTACTGCGCATGAGCAGACTATTAGTTCTTTACAGGAAGAGGTTCTCTTGTTTGCAATTATCACGGCCTGTCAAAAAGACGGAAAAAATAATTTGAATTATAAAAACGCTTATATATTCGTGCCCGCACTTCTCTGGAGGAATAATATATAACATGGGCGGAACCATAAAAACCATATTTAAGATCCAATTGACGAATTTATTTCTGTTGTAATCATGAGTGAACTCAACATGATAAATGCATTGCCTGCTTTAAAAAAAAAACAAACGAAAAAAACCCAAAAGAAACAAAAACAAAAAAAACCAAAAAATAAAATAATAAAACACTACACTTACAATCGCTATGAAAACAATGACATATACGAGCTTATTTTTGTTGTATTTTAAATTGACCAAAGTAGTCGATAAACATATTCCACTTAAGCATCTAATTAAAAAAAACATCAAAAACTTATCTAAACTGTGGATTTACCCCAGCTATTAGAAACTCGATCAGTATTAAGAATCGAATAACTTATACAAAAATGTATGCGCACTAAATCTATGTATTATCATGGAAAATTTAAAATTTACCGAAATATATAGAAACAGTACAAATTATAACATAGCCACGATATAACGCTATGTTGTTGCAAAAACCTGAGATGTATGGTGTTAGAGGAATAGTAAATGACTGGTTTCGATCATACTTGTGCAATAGGAAGCCGAATATGTTGTTATAGGGAATACGAAATCAGAATCACTTCAAATCACTTGTGGGGTTCCACAAGGCTTAATATTGGGGCCTCTTCTCTTCTTGCTTTACATTAATGATTTTCACAATTCTTGTAGAATTACTTGACTTTCACCTTTTTGTAGATGACTGTTATTTTTTATTTTTTTTTTGCTAATAAAAGGCTATTAAATTTACCTTTTGAAACAACTGTAAACAGTTAATAGCTTTCTGTCCATAATTGTCTCTGTGCCAATAAACTGGTTCTAAATATAGAAAAATCTAACATTGTTATATTCAATCCTTCGCAAAAGAAATCATCTTATCAATTTGCTTATCTTACCAAGAGTAAAATACTAAGTACCTTGGTGTGATTACTGACAGTCACCTAAACTGGAAAGCTCAAATTGCAATTGTTTACTTTTAATTAAAATTAAAAAGTTAAATCGAAATATATATTGGAGCACTCTCTAAGCTCAGGCATTTTTTAAATTCTTCAAAACCTACCTGCGTGTTAATGATTTTTTGTGGTAAAAACAAATCGAGGTCACTTTTCTATGGTCTGTACTCTTATCGAACTCGTGGTTCCACTTGAGTTTGGATCATATGCTGACGCCATTCCATGTTCGATAAGAGTACAGACTATAGAAAATGGACCTCGATTTGCTAAATTGACCAAACAAAATCGTAATGTAATATTATAATTTGCCAACTGTCTCGTTTAGCCTATAGCTATTACAGCTGGCTTGTACCAATTTTTTGTAGTTTAGTATTCTTCGATTGCACGTTACGTCATCGCGGCCATGTTAGTGCCATCAATATGTAATTTTGCAAATTTGGTATTAAAATAAAGATTGAGTAATTGAATACCTGAATACGTATTTTTTTCCCTGTAGGTAAATGGATTTTTAAGCGTTGCAGCATGTTCAGCTATCGTAATGACTCTCTGTTGTATCAGCATTGATCGTTACATTGCTGTCAATAAACCAACCAAATATCGCACCATCCTGACCTCAAGACGTGCCGTGTACATGATCTTGGTGGCTTGGTTCCAGGCTCTACTCTATGCCTCATTCCCAGTACTCGGCTGGTCCCACTATGAATATCATCCGGGGACTTTACATTGTTCGCCCGCTTGGACATCAAACTGTTCTCTGTACATATTCCTTTCAATTACAGCATTCGCTCTTCCGTTGGCCGTCATGTTTGTCACTTATATCAAGATATTTCGAGTGATTCGGAAACATTCCAGAAGAATCAATATACTTAAACTCGGCTCAGCATCCTTTCATGTAAATACTGTGCTTAGCATGACTCAAGAAGAAGATTCACGAAGCCCTGATGTGCAAAATTCATCTCTGGATTCCCCGGCTGCAAATAATACGAATGYGTTACAGGATGAATCAAGTGAATGCCCCTTAACATATAGTGCTAGTGTCACGCAAGAAGCAGGAAATATGTCACTCTTTTTGAAACCCGATCGCGATGAATTTCTGTTAACAAATGACAACCGAATTTCTTCTTCTTTTGAAGACCCTTCCAAGCAGATTCTTTCTCCCTGTGATTTGTTCGAAGAAGCCCTCCCCCCACGTGCAAACGATGAACCAACGCCTTCGGTACTTACTGACCAGCAGTCAGTTCCTAAAAAGCGGAGCATGCGCAGAATGTTACAAAACTTTGGATCCAATCTTCGATCCAGAAAACGAGATGAGGCACAATTACCGAGAGAATACAAGATTGCAAGGACAGGATTTTTGCTTTTGATATTATATCTTGTTTTATGGCTGCCATACTTAGTGGTCAACGCTTGTACTACTAAAATACGAGCTCCTGATTTTGTTTTCCACGTGGCAATGTGGCTGGTTTACATGAATGGAGTTGCTAACCCAGTGGCTTATGCCTTTACCAATAAGAGGGTCAAGACAAAGTTTAGGCAAATATTTCATAAGRTGTTCGGCTTTTTTTCAAGATGCCGTTAGAGCAGGAATGTAGGGGCGCAATAGACTATTTTCGAGCTCCAAATTACCCTTGCGAGTGCTTTGACTTCACACCAGGGGAAAATTACTAGGGGTATAACTCTCAATAAATCCTTGTCCATTAGATTGCYAGCTAGGCTAAAAATAACCCGCGCGCTGATTGGTTGGTGGCTGTGATGTCGTCTTTGTAAKATGCGTTCTTGGCTAACTTTACGGAACTAGCGGTAACCTGAAMATTACGTGTAATACGTAAAGCTTTGATTAAATGTCCTTAAATATTTACTTTGAATTTGATGCACTCGTAAATTGAATGCAAACATCGTTTTCCTCACTATCAGTAATTCCTATTTTATGAGTAACAATGTCAGTTTTTTCGTTGCTATCCAAGTCTTCAGTATCCTCATTAGTGTCCTCACATGAATTATCATCATCTTCAGTGTCCTCGCGTGAAGTACCATCTTCTTCATGATCTTCCTTTGTTGTACTTGTCGTAGTATTTAAAAGCTACATAGACAGCCAAGCATTTATTACTTGGACTTTCTCACTTTTGTACATTTTGAGCTTGAGCAAAAGTTGTGCTTTTTAAAAAAAAGGTCCAAGACTGCAACCCTCTGCTTCTTAAGAGCGGGGATCAGTAAATGTCGACCAGAGGTGTGCAAAATGAAAAAATCGAAAATTCCCAAAATATTTCCAAAGATAGGTTTTGGTGAGTTAGTAATGGAAAAAATATAGAAATGTTCACAGGATTTTTGGTTTTCGCGAAAGACGGCGTTTACTATACGNTTGAATTTGATGCACTCGTAAATTGAATGCAAACATCGTTTTCCTCACTATCAGCAATTCCTATTTCATGAGTAACAATGTCAGTTTTTTTGTCGCTATCCAAGTCTTCAGTATCCTCATTAGTGTCATCTTCTTCATGCTCTTCCTCTGTTGTACCTGTCATAGTATTTAAAAGCTGCATAGACAGCCAAGCATTTATTACTTGGACTTTCTCACTTTTGTACATTTTGAGCTTGAGCAAGTTGTGCTTTTTTAAAAAGAGGTCCAAGACTGCAACCCTCTGCTTCTTAAACATTCCGCTTTCTTGTATGTCTTTCCAGTCATAGTCTTCGTATGCTTTAAGTTTCTCTACTTCCTTATTTTTTTCCTTTTTATTTGCCCTTTTAATTTTTTCATTCAAAGGTACTACAGATGTTCTACGTACTTCCTAACCAGATCCTCTGCAACTGCAAATTTCCTTGAGAAATTCTGATGATGACAATTATAATACTACTCTATTTTGTAATGGCCCACCCTTTTTAGTTGTCAAATTTCATCAACATCCCACCCCTTTGAAGGAGTTCAAAATCATATGACCCATCCCCTGATTTTGCCCCCCTCCTCCCCCAATACTTTATGGCCAGTCCCTAATGGCTCATAAATGCAAATTGCAGTTCTGCATGCAGTAAACTTTCGTATATGGGTGTGTTCATCGCATGTTTATCGCGTAAGCTCTTATTTCCTTTTCATTGGTGATTCTACTTTAAATTTTGAGATCACAAAAGTTTACTGTTTATATATATGTGTTGCAATTCTTACAGCTTCAGTGCACTTACAGCTAGGACAACCCCTAGTCTCTTGAATTCCTGCTGTCATAATCGGTTTTATACTTGAAAATCCAAATAATAAGAAAACAGTTAAAAGAAAATGAGTGTTCTTAGTCCTTAGTCAAGCGGATTTTGGTATATAGTAAAAACCCTCCTGTAAGAACCTAAAATTTTTGAAGTCTGGCAAAATAGGTTCTTGTATTTTGAGATAGTTATTGGTGATTTAGGCTAAGTAGGTTCTTAATTAGGTTCTTAATTTCTATGAAGGGTATATATTTGTTGATTAATAGAAAATACATAAACTTGGTCCTGAAATATACAGTATTTATTCACAACTTTATTATAAGCCTAACAAAACTGATTACAGAATGTATATAGCTATATGTATGTACAAGAAGAATTGTATATAGTATATTGAGTGCTATGTTGAGTTATACAAGCACGCGGGAATTTGCGTGAGTCCGAGAGAAGTGCTAAGAGAAGCACTTCTCGAGGACTCACGCAATTTCCCAATTGCTTGTATAACTCAACATAGCACACGCAAGGGGAGTTTTCTATCTCTTTTACAGAATGACTAAGATATAACTAACGATGAACTCAAAAAATAATAATAATAAACATAAGAAACAAACAAAACATCGCTTGCATTGCTGACGTCATTTCCTCACGATCTATGTTGAGTTATATAAAACGGTAATTGACCAATCAGAGCGCGCGTTATATCTTATATCTATCTCTCCACATATAAGAACCTGTTAGATCTTGCTTGGCTAAACAGGTTCTTATATTTTTGGGTATTAAAATGACAAATTTCTGCCAGCAGGTTCTTAAACCACTAGGTTCTTACAAGCGGGTTTTTACTGTAGCTGATGTCACTCGGGAAGATTGGCAACGACGATTTTTCGCGACACGCCTTTGCGCGAAAAACTGATGCCGTGTAACATGCCATCTACAACGATTTTCGGATTCGGCAACGCTTTGCAAGTTTTTGCATAATTCAGCTTCAAAAGCTCGCAACGCTGAATGACGAATTTTATGCCAGTTGATTCGTGTAACAGCTTCACTCAACGATTTTTCGCGCAACGCATACTCAAAATGCAGTTCAATACTCTCATAGAAGCGAGGCGATGTCAACAAACAAGATGGCGGCTTTGAAATCGTTAAAAATCGTCCCGTGTAACATGTGGATTTTCGAACGAACATTGCGCGAAAAGTTGACTCGTGTAACATGTATTAAAAATCGACGAGTTGTATCGCGAAAAATCGTCGTTGCGAATCGTCCCGTGTAATTCGAGCTTTTCGGCGTTTTCCTCCTTGAAATATTTGTAAAAGTATTGAAAATACCACTGTACTGCAAGCAAAAATGATAACATCTATATGTAGTGTTTAAAAATGAGTAGGAGTGTTTTATCAGGTATAAAAGCACGAGGAGTAGCCGATAATATACCTAATAAACTGGAGCCACCATACACGTCACGAGCATGGATTTTTATACTTCGATAGAGATTTGACGTCACGGGCATGCGCAACCAAAATCAATAGAAGCTCCCACACGTTGGATATTGCGTGCCAAGGCAAAGACAGGCACTATGACCTTGATGAGGTGCTTCATCTAAACTTGGATATTTACATACTTCATACTGATTCAAGTCATCCTCATAGTATTCGAGTGGTCTTTATATAAAGACGCATGTGTCTTTATATAAAATCGCTTGAATACTAATAAAGAGGACTTTATCGGGTCTAAAGGACCATGCACGTGACGTGTATGCTGGCTCCAATAGCCTACTTCCGAGATATGCTTCGCTGGTAACGCACAAAGGTTTCAGTATGAGGCTACGTGCTAAATGCTTAGTCATTCGTGACAGGCGGTAAGAATAAATTTCGATTGCACGTTACGTCATCTCGGCCTCTCCTGGAGCGTTGGTGCCATTTAAGGTGGCTGCCTACTTTTGAACGTTCGATTTGAGCCCACGATGAGCACGCGCTCAAAAACCCCTGAAAAATCTACAAGATTTAGCCTAGGCTTCCATTAAATGCTGATTATCTCAAAAACGAGCTCGGGACATCCTTTTTTTCTTTCCAGATTTGGAATCAGCATTAAATTTCAATTCGGAAAATCGAAGTTTTAAAAAAAGCTTAAATCAATTTCCAAAAGTAGGCAGTCACCTTAACAAAGTATTTCTTATTAGCATCCATTGTTAACGACACCAAAATGACTGCCATGCTTTTGTTTTTTAACTCTCTTGGGAACGCTTGCAACCCATCAATAGACCAAGAATACTGAAGAATGCCTTGAATACAGCTTGGAATACGATCTAGACTTTTGAATTTTCGTTATGATTTAGATCTCCATGCAAACCAATCAAAACTCATTTTTTTCATTTTTTTTAGCCTGCGTAAGTCACATTCCCAGCGGTCCTGCGCGATCGTAAAAGCTGTGAAACCGAGATTTTCCTGTATACAATATATATACTTACATACGTACGCRGGTACTCCAATATATATGCCTCTTCGGATTTCGGCCTCTGGGCCCGGCAACTCTACGGGGGCATAAGCCTGAMTCGCTTTCTGCCCCCGCTAGCTCCGCCGTCTTTTTTGAAAAAAGTCATTTCAGGCGAGACTATCATATAGGCATTTTAGTCAAAACAAATAACATTGACGAATGATTCTAAAGATAGCATCAAATAGTGCTCATGATGCTCATGCTTGTAATGATAGAGACCTTTAACACCTTGGACAGTTATTCGTATGTCTCTATCATTGCAAGCTCACCGTTCGTCTCGCTGCGATGCAAAGGCACGGCTACCTTTCAAGATGGCGCACGGAACTGTAAATGGCACTATTCGTAGAAAAAACGACAAATTAAAATTCACTCCTACAAGGAATTTCCTCTTTTTCTCAGACGGACGAAAATAAATCGTAAAATTCTGGCCCTTTCCTTTCGAATATCAGAAAGATATTCCAGTGGGTGGTTCTTAATGTATTCAAGATTATTTCAGCAAAGTTCCAGCTCGAATGAAAGAGTTTTAATTTTGGAGCGATTTTCGTCCAAGTGGCCCTTTAAGATACACAAGGATAAGAACATGATATGCTGTTCCTATGCTTTCTACTACATGTGAGGGAAAAACAACGCCAAATATTTGTTTTCATTCAAACTAAACTTTCGAAGAAAACTCGACTTTTAGAAGTTATTTCATGACAAAAATAGTTGTAAAATCAGATAAATTCTCTTATTAACTATTTGTTTTACAAAGTAGAGTAATAAAAATAAGTTATAAGTATTAGCTATGGACCCACTCGAGATCTTAGGCAATCTAACGCGCATCAAGTAACAGGATAAATTCACGAGTATTAGGACCTTTATCACACGGCGGCCATGTTTATATATACTCATTAGAATAATCATTGTTATATACCAACCATCAACTCTAGTACTCTAATTGGGCGAGAGGGTATCACGTGAACGTGAACAAGTTTCGATGTTTCGCACTTGAAATCGAGGCTACGTGTGAAGGAACCTATTGTTCAAAATCAACCATGGCTGCCGCGTTGAAAGGGTCCCATACGGAGATYTAACGCGTACTTAACAATTTATATTTGCGCACATGCTCAACAAGGAATCTAGGCCCAAATTCAATTTGATTGCAAATTTGCTGCGATAAAGTTTTAAAGATGATAAAAGCCAAGCTGAATTCAACATGACAACCACGACGTCCTTTTTTTAGCTTGCAATTTAGGTTGTAATTTTGCTTACGGAATGTTTGTAACTATCGTTTGACTTGAGATGATTCTTTTCCTTTAGTGGGGTTTATTATATAGTTAGGATAGTAGGCGCACGCTGATTGGTCAAAAACTGTGCTTTATTAGTGAACGGAGCACAGTGCTGACGTCATCCGCGCGCGCGTGAAGTGCTGCTAGATCCAGCGACCGTCTTTCTTGCTGCGTAAATAAATTCAATACCGAAAAAAATTAGTACTGGCTATATAATAAAATGAAGAAAACAGCGCTTTCCGTTCTCTGTTCAGTAATGAAGCACTTAGGAAGCGTTGTTAGCACTCAAGAAGTGTCATTACACTTCTATCGYGTTTACGCCACTTCCTGCGTGCTTTATTAATGAACGGAGCTCGGAAATTGCCGTTTTATTCGTTAATTAATGTTAAATTKGTATATACCGAGACAAATTAAAAGCCGCATGCAATTTTTCTTCATTTAGCAAATCTGCCTGTTTGATTAAATGAGCCGAGCTTTTAATTGGACCGTTTTATTGACCCCAGATTTTTAAAAAAWTCGGCATCTTTGGTGGTTATACTGATTTACCTTCGGATCATTCAACGTTAAAAACTCAGATAAACTCCCAGTTTAAAATGAAATTTGAAAAATATATAAATAAATAGATAAAMAGCTTAGCTTGAAATTATAACAAAAAGAAAAAGAATGAATGAAAATAATCAATAATAAAATTTTTTCATCCATGTTGAAAATCGAGGGTAGTTTCCAAAAAAGGCAACTTTCACTGCAACTTTTTTTGGCAAGGAATTTTTTCAAATTTGTTTTTCTTCAAAAGTATAAGGCCTTTAAAGGCAATGATTTTGCATTGGTCCAGTGATAATATGTGTCATATTGCACTTAGCTAGACAGTTTTTATCAAATTCGCGTGCAAATTGGCACGTTTTACTTTTGAGCGCGACATTCGCCGATTCCCTACCATGAAACTAGGTTTGCAATATTGACTGAAGCTCCAATTAGACAACTTTTAATAACTACGTCCTTTTTAAGCCGCTTGTTTACAAACAAAACTTAAAGATTAATAAACTTTTCGAAATTATCAATTTACGACAGCCGTTAATTTTGAATTTCTATGTTTAATCAAGTGCAAATGGTTGATGTTTTCTCGTGTTTGTGTTTCAGTACGCGGCGCTGAAATCAAGATTTCTGAGGTAGGATTCATGACGTCAATGGAAACCAATCTCTTACGGCTACACAGCTCGGATAGTGATTGGTCGGTTAGATATGGATCCAGCTGGTAACAGCTAGTAATCAAACACAAGTTTTTTCACACCTTTTTTGAGCTGTGAAAACGGGAAAAAAGATCGTTGTTTTTTTAACATCATTGCTGTATTTTATTTCAAATAAGTTATTCGCCCTTCAGCCCACGCTCGGATAATACAGTAAGTCCTACAGTAAGACCTAGCTTCTTTATCCATAACATCACTTCCTTTACGCAGGGAAAGCAACTAAAAAGTTGGTACTGATTTTATAGAATCCATATACATGTATCCGCTGAATTATCGAACTCTTTTTTCCCTTCTTTTCTTGCAGGTAGCTGACACATTATCAGCAATATACTTTTACAGTTTGAAGGTGAAATGTAATGGACACATTTCATAGAAGTGTTGTTTTCGTGTAAAAGATGTAAAGCTGAAAATATTTCTATCTTAACGGATCACTTTCTCCTGGTTGAGATTAAAAGGCACTTCGAATAAGCGGAAGCGGTCTGTTTCATCWGTCTTTTGCCGAAGAGTGCAGGAGTCATTTGAATTCACGGATATTGTCCACCACAATTCATTGATTCTAACGCATTTTTTAATGCTCAGAAATTAGAGTTGGAACATTACCGGAATGCATTAGGAATATATGTACCGGCCGCTGAGCTCTGCTACCTAAAAAGGGACTCATCCGGTAGAATTGTATAAAACTATTGCACGAAAATACTTCGATAAACTATTGATTACAACTCAAGCAAGCAGAAGCGAACAGCGGTAACCCGTACTCGCTGTATGAAAAAGGACTGGAATTTGAGTGACTTTGCCGTCTGGCTTTATTCGCGCCTTTGGCGAGATTTTCAAGGGAGATCATCTTGACCAAAGCTGGTTTTAGAAGCAAGGAAATACCTCCTTCAGCTTGTCACTTTCAACACGACTGGTGAACGCCTCTCGTCTATTCGACTGAAAATAATACTTGGAATAATCATTTTTCTTTCTGCTAATAGCTTTCCTCTCTGAAGTTCCTCCACAATTTATCGACATTTTTTTCCGTTCAAAATGGCAACATCATCAATCAACATTTCTATAGGTTTACTAAATGATGATCCAGAATCTTTAACCAGTCGCAGCCTTAAACTAACTTTTTATGCCATCATATTTGTGACGAGTGTTGTTGGGAATACCTTAGTTTGTCTTGTGGTGTGTCGACAACAGCGTCTACGAACCTCTACAAATTATTACATTGTGAACCTCGCATGTGCAGATCTGGCAGTAACTGTTATATGCATCCCCTTCGATGTTATACTCCAGGAGAATGGTTATGTGTGGCCCTTTGGGCAATTCTTATGCCGCATTTTGTATCCTCTCATGACTATGTCTACGTTTGCTTSCGTAGGAACACTCACTGCTATAGCATTGAATCGCTATAACGCTGTTTCTAGAGCAATGAGGGTTCGTGCGARCAAGAAAGTTGCTAAAATTGCCATTGCGGTTATTTGGGTGTTCTCGTTTTTAGCAGTGTTACCATATATCCTCGTTTTGAACGTCAACGAAGACTCGGTATGTGTGGAGATTTGGTCATCAATCTGGCGAAAGACTTACACCGTTTTTATCTTTGTTTTCCAATACATGATACCTCTGACTATAATTACTATTGCCTACATTATGATTGCAATTTTGCTGCACAAAAATCGTTCCAACCTGACGGCTGCYCACCGAAGACAAGACAAAGACGTCGCTAAAGTATCTAGAATGATGGTTGTCGTGGTCGTTATATTTGCCGTCACTCTACTACCCAATCATATTCTATGGCTACAAGAAGAGTTTGGTGACACTAATGGCGACCAAACGAGGCGTCCTTTTCTACATTGGGGTGCATTACTCATCTATGCAAATAGCTGCACCAACCCTATAGTCTACAGCATCTGCATTGAGGAGTTCCGCATGGCTTTTAAAGCCTACATCACTAAATGCTGCAGGGTGACAGATGAGGACATTAGGCCAGTCAACAGAATGTTTGAAAGAATATCCTTCAGGGGCAAATCTTTTTCCACCGACCGTTTAGTGAGCAGGCAGATATCAAGACGCGGAATCAAGACCGCAACCAGTAGCTTTGAGGATGAAAAACGAGGAAAATTACTCAAACATATAGCTAGTCAAACGAACTTTCGAGACAGCGAACTGCCTCCAGTTTTATCAGAACTTAAATGGCACAGCGCTTTGAGTGATAAAGGACTTGCCGGTGGAAGACGAGAAAATAAAAACGAGAAAAAGAAGGCTTTTAGGAAGGTTAGCAACAGCACCACACACAAGACTACGAGAGTTTAAGATTAGTTTATTAGTTTAAATTTATCAAGTGAAAACCTTAATGGCAAAAAGCAAGACAGAGATAAAGTGACGTTATATCTTTTGGTAAGRACAATTATTAGCTTGATCGATCGGCTGCAAGTGGCTAAAAATTTTCTGGTTTTTGACGGAAGATAGAAATCTCCACACATTGATAAATGAAAAATATCTTTTCACTCTTTGCTCATTCTGAGAMAAGACGACCTACACGGCTTACTGAAATAATGTACTTGGAAAAGGTACAGAGACCCAGTAAAAAAGCCGGTATTTTCTTTATTCTTTATATGTCTCCCTGCAAATTTCGAATCAATAAATGTCAAAATTATGTCACATATGTGTACAGAGGTAAAATGCATTAATTGATCAAAACTTCTACGTTCTTAAAGAAGCATAAATTCTAGTTCAACACTCATGTACAGACAGGATTAGTATTTATATCGGCTTGTAAAAGTGAAACTCGACCCCGTTTACTTAAGAGGAAACTGATTGGGATACGTTTTTCCAGTGTTGT